CCCCCAAAACCCCAAAACCCCAAAACCCCAAACTTAAAACAAATGATTGAAATAGAATATTTTAAGGCTAAGTTTCTAATAATTTGCTCACACTTGATATACCTCTAGATCTTATTTTAAATCAAATGGATTTTCTTTGAACCTCAGATTTTTGTTCAAGCTCCAAACAAAAGTACTACTGCCAGAGTCATTGTGCATTTATCTGAACCTACTGTAAAAGATCAACCCACGATGAATGAAGTCTCAAACCTTTGATTAGTGCAGATAGTTTGAAGGACCAGATTTTCCAATTTAAAAAATTGATTGACACTCTTCAGAAAGATTTTAATGATTTCAACCTTCAAGAATACTTTCCAGAGTTTCAGGAAACCATTGAGAAATATAAGGACTCTTTTGTAAAAATTAGAGATTTGACGATTCAAACCATTGAAGATAAAAAAGTCTTGAAACTCGAAAATTGAAAGATCCATTTAGATAAAATCGTAATTGATTTGAGAAAGGAAAGAACGATAGCTAGAGTCATGAGTTACCTATACGAATTAAATGTATTTAATAGTAAAGGTAGTGATACTGACACCATTACAACAACAAGTCAATCAACTTTGAAATAATAAAACTTGAGCATCAGAAGAGAACTCAGATAAACCTATCAAGCCTGTAATTACCGATGAAGAAACTAAGGAAATTGTTGAGATTGTTGGCTCTCAATCTATAAGTGACCTAAGATCTAAATATTCCCCAAAAGAACATCCAAAGAAACATTTGTCTGATATTTCACTGAATTTATCTCAACAAGATGATGTTGATTTTATGAAAGAATTTATCAAAAAGAAGAAAACGATTGACGTTGAAAAATATACCTTTAAACTTCCAGAAAACTATGACGACGAAAGAATAACCAGAGACTTCATTGACACATGAGTGAATCCCAAAGCATGCAAGGAGATTGAGCTCACAAATGATTATATATACGACTTGCTTTGATTTTTACCATATGAAAGCTGAATTAGCAAAATAATGGAAGCAGGGGATTTCAGATTACATTTGCATAATTTCGAACTTGACGAGAGTACACTTCAGAAATTTGCAACAAAAGTGGAGAACAAAAATATTGTGATAGATCTTGATGACTGCTGGCTTAAATACTGGGATTGTAAAAAGCCTGAGAAGATAACTTGGCATAATGAAAAGCAGTGGAAACTAAATTCTGTTAAATACCTAGAAAATCGATTTGATTAGAATGCAAATATGGCCTCTTGTCCAAGTAAGAGTCAAGCATTTCATCAATCTAAAGAAGCTCCAAAGTAAAATTCAGATTTTATGTAAGTATTTAGGTTTTACTCAGAGAAATTCTAAGAATTTAGGCATGAAGAGCTTTGCTCAAAATTCAGACAAACCATTAACAAATTTAAATACGCGTTTGGAACAGTCAGGAATAAAACAACCCAACCCACTGGTAAGAAGAGCTTCATGAAATTTGAAGACTTCAAATATAGGTAGAGTAAACTGGGGGGAGATTATAATGTCGACCCAGCAATAATGAAGATGATAAGTTTCATCAGCCACAGCATTGTTTAAACTAAGGGAATCATCCTCAAACATCATTTAAGCTGAAAAGATAATTAATTAAGATGAAAAAATGCTTAAATAGATTGCCATCAAAATAATCATAAAGCAATATTGTTGAACCTATTGAAACAAGTCATTTAGAGATCTTAGCTAGACCAACACAAATGTTAATACCAAAATATTTTCCTACTGAAGATCTTAAAAATCCTATCTAATTGATAATAGATTTCTCTCATAAGGTGAAGTAGCCTTGCCAAAAGAATAAATTACGGTAAAAAAAGAAGATTGATATAGCAAACAAGCTTATGTAAAAGTTTCTCCTAAAAATACTACACTAGTCTATTTGAAGATTTGTGGAAAACTAATTAATCTTCAATATCTGCTTTCAACTCATCTGCTGAATCTCGGGGTTTTGGGGTTTTGGGGTTTTGGGG